AACATAGTTGGACCTGCTCTTGCAGCCAACCTTTAACCATTATCACATTGACGTAATGTTGCTTTTCTTTCACTTTTATATAAATAATATTATGGGAGCTGCTCTAAAAAGCTAGTGTCTCTTGTGTCATCTACTAAAATTTATTCTCGTGTAACTTGCCATTCAATTATTACTTGCCATTCAATCTTGTGTTACTTGCCATTCAATCTCGTGTTACTTGCCATTCAAAGTCTCATCCTTTTTTCTGTGACTGTTCCTAAATGCTCCCAAAAATTCTTATTTGTCTAGTTTTTTTTTCCTTAAACATCAGTTTTTTGAAATTCACTTCCTTCATCTTATTTTCCTGATATATAATTTGCCATCTTTCAAGTTGTCTGTTAATCGTTATCTTGCTATATAAGCATCATCTTTTTACTACCAGTAACTTTAAACTCATAAATTTATTGATAATATAAACTTAATACATAAAAAATTAAAAAAAGATCCTGAAAAAGAGATTAGGACATAAGAGGAGAAACAGCAATTAATTTGATAATGTGAAAATCTGACAAAACAGGGTAATCAACTTATCAATCAGGTTGAGCGTAAACTAAAAGAAGGCGATAATATAAAGGCGTAAAAAAAAGAGGCGTTTCACACTCATGGACCCAATGTAAGCAGATATACATAGATTTCTTCAAAAATATATCAACCTGGGTCTCAAAAGAACAAGAATTTTATAGTGATTTTAAAATTTATAATCTTTTCCACTGAAACATTGAAAAAGATATTGCAAACAAAATCTCATTAAAAACGACCTTTTCAATTTTTAGTTAAAAATTTTTGTTTTTTGTATCTAAAATTTAAGCAACTCGTTGTTATTTGAAACCATTATTCTTTCTGAAATTTTTGAAAAAAAAAAACTCACTGATATATTGGAACCGGTGTGTAATCAAGAGTCATGGTGGGCTACCTTTTTCGAAAATTAAATAAAACCAATGACTTTTCAATTACTTTGAAACCAAAGTTCATCTATTTTTTATATTTTTTATATTGAAACTGGAGATACCAAAGAGTCAACACCCTTTTGTATATATGTTTTAAAATATTTTTTTATTTTTTATAGAGTACCACGGATGGCACCTAAATCAGAATGATTAAGTTGTTTCGAAATCTATTTATTGACTACACAACCGGAAATATAGATTTTTATTTCAGAAATCGGAACATTAATTAGCACTCATTACTAATGATACATTTTTCCAAATCAATGTCACAAACCGTGCATAGATAGATAATTTATTGTACTTCTATTTTAAGTATCCTCTAATAGGTTCTTTGTCTGAGAGTGCTATTGAAGTCAGAAAAAAAAGGAAAACAAAACTGCACGAGTTGGCCATGCACGTCCAACTTTCTTTGCAGAAAACACTATGAATACAGCTTATTATTTGTTCATCTGATATGTCCCTCTATTGCAAAATAAAAGTAAAAATAAAACAGAATGAAGGCAAAACAGTATAAAAAAGCAAAGAAACAGTGCTTCTGATAACTGTTTAAATTAAGGGTAAAACAAACAACGCTGGGTATTTTTTTTAGTGTTATGCTGTTGTTTATAGTTTTGATTATTTTTCTTAATTTTTTTCAACAAAAAATTGAAACAAAAATTTGATGTTTTGTGAAAAAATCAGTTCAATATATTGAATACTTCTTTATTTACTACCATGATCGGTTGAAATTCAGACGATTTTAAATTAAGTTTTTTCAAAAACCACTTAATCAATTGATATGATTTTTTATTATAATGATGTTAACATTATTAGTTTTCTTGTGTGCGAGTTTAGTATTGTTTGCTTCTTATTAGTTTTTTCCATGTTGAGTAAAGAGTCTGAAAATCAAAAAAAAATTTTGAAATTTTACATAGAAAATCCATCGTTCTCGTATTCCACGATTTCAAAAGCATGTAAAGTTTCAAATTCAACTGATGGAATTGCTATAAGGAAAACAAGACTGTAAAAAGAAAATCGGAAATTGGTGGAAAATCAAGATTTATTTCTGAAAAGAAGGCAAAATCAATAGTCGACTCAATTCATCAAAATCCGACTCAGTCACAACAAGATTTAGCTACAAAGATTAGATAAAGCTTTTGTATTCAAAAAAGAAAATCTGAAAAGATATTACAAGAAAAAAGTACCAAAAAGGTTGCTTGATGGAGAGATCAAGGCAACTGGATGAGCTAAAAATTTGCTTAAATTAATTACGAAAAAAAACTTATGCATTTTAGAAGACGATGAAGCTTACTGTTAAAAAGTTCACTCAATGCTTCCAGGTAATCGATACTGTTATCAGTTAAAATTTTATAAAGCTTCTTACAAACTTAAGTACATTTTAGTAAGAAAATCACTTTCAAGTTCCTTGTATAGCAGGTTATTTGCAGATGAGGTTTTAAAATCTCTCTTTTCATAACAAATCAATCTTTGACACCAGATCTATATGTGAGTGAATGTTTGAAAAAACAACTTCTTCTAATTAAAAAATAAACGACTTCTTACTCTAATTAAAAAGCACAACTAATCAACTTTATTTTGGCTAAATCTGGCATTGATCCACTATTCCAAAAAAAAAAAAATCAATTTTGTTCCAAAGTATTAATCCATCAACTGTCCTGAGCAGCGAGTTTTTTTACTGGGCAATTGTGACGAAATATTGAGGAAAAAAGACAAACGTGAAAATAGTGTTAAAAATTTCCGAGATTTATGGATTAATGCTACAAAAAAGTGGCGCAAAGTAAAATTGTGGAGATGATGGCGGGTGTTTTACAAAAAATTAAACTACTTGCACATCGTAAAGTTAAGGGTTAATTTATTGTTGTTGAAATAAAAACTAATTATGTAAGCAACATTATAAAAAGAAAATGATTAAAATTGGTTCAGTGGTCTTTGGGAAAATTCAATTTAAAATCGTACAAATTTCAACCGATCTTAGGTTGATCGGTTGATTATTTCCTCATTTTGTATGAAAGGGACGCATACAAACTAAACTGAAAACTAAAAAGTACACTACTTAACTAAACTAGAAATTAATAAGGTGAAATAACCTTAAAGATTTATCACATCCTACCTTTACGTATCACATATCTGACCTTTAGTTAAATCACATATCAAGCTCCTTAATATAAAATAAGAAAATTATATCTTTTAAAGTAGAACATTATACCTTTGAGGTAGCAAATAACCCCACAATATGTGGTGTCAAAAAAAAAATTATCATATATAGAAATCTATATAATTATATATAAATAATCTACACATTTGTTTAAAACATCGCAGACATATGATTAAGATCATATGTCTATGATAATAGAGTTCCAAAACTATTGATTAATTTTCATTTTTGTTTTAGTAAGTGCGCATTTTTATTTTTAAAGTTTATTCCATCATTTTTTTTTTAAGTTTATTCAACCAGATTAGAGGTAATGACACCGAGTTGGTATATTACTTTTGTTCACCGTAATATTTTTGACACCAGTATAAACATTTTTGAACGTTTATAAAGTTTTATTTAAATAATGTTTAGTATTTGAGATTATTTATCTAAAGTTAATAATTTTTCTTTTTTTTTTTTTGTTATTTAGGTGCCCCAAGAAGACCTAACGGTTTTGTCGCAGAGCACCGCGGAAAAGCATTTAAACAGGAAGTTCACACCTCCTTCCTTACCGTGACGCGAAAGTATGTCCAGAGCTCATTTGAACCTGGATCTCCTGCTTGTAAAGCAAACGCTGTAACCACTGCGCCACGGCCACACTAATAAAAGTAAAGTATATCTTAATACAATTTTTTAATCAACCTTATTATTTCTAATTCTGAGGGCTGCATCTGGCAATACTAACTTTAAAGGAATAAACAAAACAAAGGTAATATAAATAAAGATAATAAAGTAAACAAGTGTAAAATGTATATGGTTAAATTTAAATTAACCTCATCCGATTTAAATTTTTATACAGGTGCTCTGTACTTGACGTTATGTTATTACAAATTTTAAATTTCACTGACCGCATCTTTTTTTAAATGGAAAAATTTAGCAAAGAGTTAAAAATAGCGCATTAAGTTTAACGAAAATCGCCTCGTAAAAGAGCTTAAAATTTCCTACTTTCGTTTTTTTTAAATAAATTTAGCGTTGCATAATTTATGGGGACGACTGAATAAGTGCGGATTTCATAAGTGCGAACCGGCATAAGTCCGAAGCAGTTACAAAAACTGGCATAAATGCTAATTGTCATAAGTGCGCCAAACAAATTTGCAAACATTAGCATAAGTGCGAATTGGTATAAGTGCGAGTTACTAATTTGCACTTACGCCAATAATTGACATTTTATTCGGCGCACTTATGCCAATTCGCACTTATGCCAGTTTTTGTAACTGATTCGCAGTTATGCCAGTTTTTGCAACAACTTCGCAAAAGTCCCTAAGAAAAAAACTGGCAAGGAGGGGGAGGGGGTAAGCCTCTTTTCCCTGGTGTAACCGGCCATGAAAAATTGGTTCATTTTTAACATAATTTAATAAATATTAAAAAAAAAACTTTTTTTTAAATATTTTATTAAACGATATAAAAAGATATTTTATATATTCAATACCTTTTCATTTTAAATGGTTTACGTTTATCATTATAAAGTTAACAAAAACATGCGCGTTAAAGACAAAATTTTTTTTTGATTTATTTGTTTTCTTCAAAAACATGTTACATCCTTTTTACAAAAATAATTAATCTCGTAAGCTAGAGTAATTTAAAGTTAGGATAACTATATTATGAGGTGAAACAAGCTGGGGGAGTTAAGAGGACTGAAAGGAGGCGAGGAAATATTTTGTAAAACTAATTTTAGTTAAAACAATTGTAAGAAAATTTGTACACAAAACAACAGAAAAACTAACAACAAAAACTGAACACAAAAAATGCGAAGCAAAACATTACTAAACTATACCTTTTGTATTTAAAACAAACCAACAACAATAACAACAAAATATATGTCACCATCGCAAAATATCAAAACAATATTAAAATTTAATTTCAAACTATTTATAACTTAAAAGAATCTCCTCTGTTCTCAATCTTCAGTGCCTTCAATCATAAGTCCATTGCATAAATTAATTTTTTTAATTCTAATATCATTTTCTAAATCTATTGTCATTTTGTGCTTTCTTGATGTTATTGGTGAATCTGATGCAGCACCACTGATTTCATTTATTACATTTACAGAATTTTCATTCAGCACATGACTGGAGTTTTCATACAACGATCCAACAGAATTTTCATTCAATGCATTACCAGAACCTTCGTTCAGTGCATTTACAGAATTTTCGTATAATGAATTAACAGAGTTTTCATGCAGTGCATTTACAGAATTTTCATACAATGAATTAACTGAGTTTTCATTCAGTGCATTAATAACACAGTCATTTATATCAGTCAATTTTGTGGCAATTAAATTTTTGACGTAATTTGTTGAAACAGTTTGTAATTGGGTTGATTCACTAACAGAAATTGTGCTGGCTGTTACCTTTCCATTATCTTTGCTTAATACCTTACCTTTACCATGTGTGTATGAATGATCTTTATTAACTGAATCATGCACATCAATAGGAAATTGTACACCAACGTCCTCCATAAATTTAAACTGAAAATTAACCTGCTGTGAAAAATTTTTTTTTTTTAACTTGCACTTGCATTTACATTCACAATCTGTTTGAGTATACTTAAAACGATCTTTAAACTCTCTATCAAGACGCATCTTTTCCATTTCCATTCTTTTTTGTAACACTTTATTTTTCCAATTGTTTTTTATAAGTTGGACCTTTTCGTTTACAAAAATTCTTCCAGGAAATATTGTAGGTATAGCGTCAACTTTTAACTTACGCTTAACTTTTGTAGGACCATATTTACGCTTGTACTCTTCCCATTTTTCATCAAAGCAGTCTTCTGTGAAATGGTCTGAACAAACAGCTACATCTTTCGGTAAACTTGTACGATTAATTGCCATTATCCAAAGTTCTCTTATGTCCATTCTGTCTTCATTAGGTAAATCATGTAGTGAAAAACTGCGAGAATCAGAAGATTGACAACCCCATTCATCTTTTGAACCTCTGTTCTTGTGGTGATGAGTATTCTTGCAACCAGGAACACAACAATGAACCATTTCTAATAAAGTAAAAGTAAAAATAACAACTTCTCAAAAAAAATTTAATAAATTTTAAAATTATTTTGTAACTTCTTTTAACACATTGTGCTTAAAATTTTTTATTTGAATAAATAAACTATTTTATCTAACTAACAGGCACTCACATCATTATGCTGATTAAAAAATTAATAACACTGGTCTGTTTAGTTGGAATTATATTATTTCTTTGCTGGGGTTTTGGCCAAATATGAAAATACAACTTAATTAACTTAAACAGCAAGTCTGAATTAAACCCACATTCTTTTTGTATCAACTCAAATGTTATTCATAATTTTTTTTTATATGCTAGTTAGACAATTTCTTATAAAAAGTTGCACAAAATTGCTTATGATAACTAGTGTAGTCACATAAGCCTATTTAAATATTTTGACAAGATCTAAATATTAAGATACATAGAAATTGGGCTGGTTCTTCTAATGATGCTTTTTCTCTTTTAAACAAGGTCCAGAATAGTTAGACCTGCTCTACCTGAAAGCTTGAGCCACTCATTATCATGATTGCTGTTTAAATAACCTATCATCTCTTGTTCCATCAACCAAAACTCATTCCTGCTTGATTTATCATCAGCGAAGTCACATTTCCCTTCATGCTCTAAAAAATTCTATTTATCTAGTTGTTTTTTTCTCGCACATCAATGATTTAGAACTCTTAATGTTTTCTTGACTCATACAGCCTAAAACTTTTTCAGTCTTCTGTCAACTGTCTCCTTGCATTTTAACACTATTCTTTTTTTTCTAACAACTCCTAATTTAATAGTGGTTGCTTGCAACCTTGTTGGGAGTGAATAAGTTTTTTAAAAAAAGTCAAAAATAACACAGATGACAGCTCCATGATCACTATCAGAGAAATAGCTAGAAAATTAAAATTTTAGAGAATTGTCAGAAATACTTTCAAAAATATTTAAAATAACAGGTGGTATCTCATGTCATACAGGATCTTGAAATTAATAAAAACTACAATCAATGACTAGATTTGAATTTATTTAAATCCATTTGGTCTTTGATGTGAAATTTTATATATTAGTTTAGATGTTTATTTTTGCACCTTTTTCAGTATTACCATCATTTTTTTATTGATAATTTTGGTATTATATTTGTAACATTTTTATATACAATTGTATGCTTTAGTATGTCACCAAAGATTTGTTTAACCAAAAATTTCCTAATGAACAAAAAATTAGCTCAATATCTTTGGTTTTTATTTGATGATGATACATTAAATGTACTTTAAACAACAAAATCACTTTTTTAATTTTATTTCTAAAAAGTTTGATTTTGACAACAAAAAGTAAATTTTTTTGTCAAAATCAAACTTTTTAGAAATAAAAAAAAAAAAAAAAAAGAACCTCACATCTTAAATATTTTTTTAAGTTGAGTATTTTTGCTTATGTCATTTTTTAACTATACTATTATTCACTTCTTGCATGGTTGCTTTTGAACTATATAAGTGTCTATTATGACAAAAAAAGATATATATATATATATATATATATATATATATATATATATATATATATATATAAATACAGCATTAGACACACACCGATGAGGTTGATTTTTCCTTCTTTTTCTAAACAATTAAAGCCCACATTTTTAGAATAAGAGGGCAAAAAGCATATTAAGAAATTGCATCCTTAGGTATAAACTGTTTGAGTGTGTGTGTGTGCGTATATATATATATATATATATATATATATATATATATATATATATATATATATATATATATATATATATATATATATATATATATATATAAGTGTAAAATTGACTTTTGCGGTAAAAGTTGGCAGTTAGCAATAAAAATCTTACAATAATTTTGCTTAAATTTCAAATGGCATTTAAATTACTTTTAAATTTAAATAAATTTAAAAACTATTATATAAATATTTTATGTACAATTAAATTTACTTAGAACTTTTTTCGGATCCAAGACAAGAAAGCCCAAACAAAAATAACAAATTTTTCGATTCTAAGCTACAACAATTTAACTAAAATTTTAATCATAAAATTGACTTATTTGTATAGGATATGAACATAACATTTAAGAATAAATGCTGTAATTTATAGCACTTATGGCTTCCTAAGATCCTAAAGTTCTAATAATTCACAAGGACTCTGGGTTTAAAAATGATAGATATCAGATTTTAAGATTGCTCTTTTTGATAAAATTTAAAAACATTTTGTATGTTTAAAATTTTAATGTTGTTTAAACCCTATTATAGTATTAACATAAAATAAGAAAAAGTATGATATAAAATATTAAAATTATGTAGTATTAGAGCAGTACATAGTATGGTATAAAGCAAAACCATTTATATTACAATACAAAATAACATGCCAAAACTTTTAATCATAAAAAATCAAAGAAAAATTGCAACATTGCAACAGAGTGAGCCTTAAAATTTGTTCAACAATATTTAGTTTAAGCTTTTTTAAACCGCAATATTTAATAACTTTTTAATTAAACAAGTTACAACAACGTATAACTTGTTTACAGGGTTGTACTATTGTTAGTATGTTACATAAATAAAGTAGACAACCTTTGCTTTAACTTATATTGCGATGTTACTGGTAGCTAGTTATGCTTTTTTCCAAGAGTATTGTTTAACTTATAAAATTAAATTAATTTTTGTGCGTTACTTTACTAACCAAACAAAATTGCGTGTTTATAAAAAATAAGTGTGTTTCTAAATAAACACGTATTTTTTATTTTTTGATATTCAAAATACACATAAAAATCGCATTGTTTTTTTAAAAGAGATACTCACTTTTAATTGTCTAATCTTTTTTTCTAATTTGATGGCAATATTGCGAACGAGAGACGGGTTCCAAGTTGTCGATTTTGTAAAACAGAAAGCAAGGTTGATATTCTTTCTGTAAACATCATATTTGTTTTATCATCAACTACTTGATGTCTAAAAATAGCAAATTATGAAATAAACTCAATAAGAAAGGAAAATAATATCTTACCAGTTATCCTTCCTAGTAACAAAAAAAGTACACTAGAAAAGGATTAAATTTTCAAAATGACCATACCGTTTACAGATATAACCAAGGTTTTGAAAATACTCTGCTAGCATTACAAAAAAATGAAAGCAGGTTAAATAGGCAGTTTTAGATAAAGAGTTAAAGAGAGGTAACTTGTAGAAATAGTGTTGTTATCGACTTCAACTAAATCGACAATAAGTCGACCAGTCCAAAGTCGAAATTAGTCGACTTAGAAAAATTAAATAGTCGATTTAATCGACTACGGACTTCATACTAATCGACTAAATTCATAGCATGTTAGCATTATTTACACCTAATTAAACTTCCGATTATGTATTTCATTTATTTTTCTTTTGTTTAATCGACCCTTGCGATTTTCATAAATACTTTCAAACAGGGCCGCTCTAAGCTGACTCGGAGTCCGGGGGGCCGACCTAACTTGAATTAAAAGTTGTGAAGCAACCTCTAAATGCAATCTATACAATCACATTGTAAATATGATTGTAATTACTTTTTGATATATAGCATGTCAATGATATATATATATATATATATATATATATATATATATATATATATATATATATATATATATATATATATATATATATATATATATATATATATATATATATATATATATATATATATATATATATATATATATATATATTTATATATATATATATATACATATATATATATATATCCATACCTCGACTAAATCATGATTTCAAAAATGTATGAGTCGGTTTTAGTCGTCTAAAACATTTTTTTTATGGAAACTATCTCTTGAACAAGGAAACTTAAATTTGAGGTTTTCATAAAAATTTGAGATTTGCACCAACTGGATACCAAACAGATACCAATCGTCGCAACTTGTTCTAAAACATTTTTACATGACATTAGTATGCATTTTATGTACATAACAACTTTTATTGTACCATTTCTGGAAATCATTTTTTTTAACATTAAAAATTTTGGACTCGCCTATTTAATGCATTTTTAGGCCTGCATATATAAGAAAATATAATTATAATTAATGCAAACATAATTATAATTAATGCAAGTACACTTAGCAAACTTTTGTTTTGCAACAATATTAAATAGAAGTGTTTCACAGTATTACTTAAATATGTTTCAAATTTTTAATAACTTTTTATTTAGTTATTGACGTGCTCTAAAAAGTTCTTGCGGTCTTATCACAAAACAGCGCAGAATAGCAAAGCTTTAAAAGCTTTTTTCATGCAAGTCAAACTTTATACAACATTTTTGAATACATTTAACAATTTGGGAACTTTTTCCTTCATTTACTGCACTTCTTCAACATCAGGGGCATCTAGAATTTTAAATAGGATTCAACTTTCTGGACTTACCGAATCCCAAAGCTCAGTGGGCTCAAATATAATTAGTAGCATAGGTTTTTCAAACCTTGACTACCTACTCCTTGACTTTGAACTAGACTTTCTGGAATTTGATATATAGCCCTTTCCTTGGCTACTTTGTCTTCTCTGCTTTTAAAAGTTCTTTAAAGTGAGAGATATGTACCTCTAGCATATGTCATTTGCAGAGAAACCATACATGAGGAAAGGCATCTTGAAAACAGAGCTAAGAAAAACAATATTCCAGAGTGTACTCCGCTATTGGACTCTGTTGTATTGAAACAAATAGAAAATATTTGAAATGTCAGAGTATTGTAGCCAATATAAAGTTGATTATCATGGTCGCTACCTTTGCAGCTTGCTGACTAAACAATATTCAGTAGTATTTCCTCAATGTCATCCATATCATCAACACTGAATTTTATTCTTTCTACAGAAACAGTTATGTTTAAATCTTCTTCAATCTTTTTCACTCGCTTTCCATCATAACAGAGCTCCTTATCTTTTAGAGTATTTATAATATTTTGCATGAGGTTGTCTCTAAATATCTCAATCTTCTTGAACATTATTTTATAGACTGTACTTCTTGATAGACTAATAATTTTAAGATTCATACTAGCATCTTTGAATTCAGTTTTCAACCTCTTTTTTGAATTTAGTTTTCAATAAAATACAAAGTACTTACCCTCTAAGTAAAATCAATCACAATAACAAAATGATTCTTTCATTAAAATCATGTTAAATGGTGTTAGAAGAACTGTAAGGCTCTTGAAAGTTTGTCCTATGTGAAAATATCATCAATTAGTTGATTCTAGACACTTTTTTTCCGCCTAACATGTAATAATTAAAATCTAGACAAAATTTTTATAAGTATAAATTATAAAGTAATAATTTTTAATTATAAATTAAATTATAATATACTTACAATCACTTCTATTTTATTAATTTTTTATGAATTAAAAAAAGTATTTTATTTTGTTATAATTAAAAAGGAAAATAAGACTTATAATGAAGATTAGATGAAATTAAGGGGTATACTCCCCCAGAAATTTTTAAAAAATCAAAAAAAAACAAAACTGATTTAAACAATTAAATATATGGGGGTTTCAGAAATGTTAATCGTTTTACCTAAAAATATCTCTAAATACCAAAATTTTTTGTTTTTGAGAGTTAGGTACAAAAAAGAGAATTTTTTTTACCCCTAAAAAAATCACTTGTTAACCAAAACAACGTATTGATTTCACAAGTTAAAAGCATTTTTGGCTTCTTGTTAGACTTGTTAGCACTTTATTTTTGGTATATGAAGACTAAGTTGGTTTTGTTGTTTTGAAGCTTATTTTTTGTCGCATTTTCTTGCCAGAAATTTTAAATTTTTTAGTTTTCAGACATGGTTAAGGGTGATCGAATTAAAGTTAGAACTAAGCGAGCAGGCAAAAGAAAGAAGATTTTTAATAGAAAAGTGATAAGTAGCAGTGTGAGTGTAAATAATATAAATTTTCCTTCTTTAAGTGTAAATATTGAATCACATGTAAATAGTCAAACTGATATCTTCGATACGCCAAGCTCTTCTCTTCGCAAAGTTGAAGCAGTCATTAGCTCAACTCCACAAAAATATACCAATACTAAAAACAAAGTTCTGACAGGATATAGAATTATTGATTGTTCAATTTTGTCTAATGTTATTAGCTTTTTGAGCTGTCCGACTTGTTTCCAAATGACTTTAGCAATCATTGAAAACAAAAGCAAAAAGCAAGGACTTGCATGTGAACTTTCTATTATTTGTTTAAAGTGTAAATATCAAAATGACTTTTACACTTCTAAGTTAGTTAATAAAAAAGGAAACTTTGATATAAAAAATCGAACAGTATATACAATGAGGACTCTTGGATTAGGACATTCCGGAATTGAAAGGTTTACAACCCTCATGAACATGCCAAAACCAATGACGCCATAAAACTATGACAAACTTGTTTTAAAAATTACTAAGATTACAGAGGAAGTTGCACAGGAAACAATGACTGATGCTGTATCTGATTTAAGACTACAGTGTTAAGACAATAATGAGATATTGATGTTGGTGTATCATGTGATGGCACGTGGCAGCGTAGGGGATTTTTATCATTGAATGGTGTATTTGCAGTACTTTCAATGGACAGTGGGAAAGTTTTAGATGTTGAGCTGACGAGTCGAGTGTGCAGAGGGTGCTCCTTTAATCAAAAACTTTCTGAAAAAAATCCTAATGCATACGCCGAGTGGAGAAATTCCCACATTTGTAAAATGAATTATGTAGGTTTTGCAGGTGGAATGGAGTGCGAAGGAGCCAGTCGTATTTTCCAGCGATCGATTAAAAAGCATAAGTTGCAGTACATTAACTTTTTAGGTGATAGAGATATCAAAAGTTAAAATAGTGTCAAAGATGTTTATCCTATATTAAAATAAATAGAATGTGTTAGATTAATTAGATGTTTATCCTATATTATATTATATAAATGAATTAGATGTTTATCCTATATTAAAGCGAATAAATTAGAATGTGTTGGATACTATCAGAAGCGTGTTAGAACCAGACTCCAGAATTTGAAAAAAAAAGTTAGGGGACTGGACGATCGTGGTAGATTGACAGATGCAACAATTGATCGACTGCAAAATTTCTTTGGTGTGGCAATTAGACAGAATACTGGTAATTTAATTGCCATGAAATCAGCAGTCTTGCTACTCTTTTTCACGTTGCATCATCAAAGCAAATAATTGGCACTATCCACATTGTCTAACAGGTGTAAGCAGTTGGCGTAAATTTAACAGAGACAAAGCAAATAGCACTAACACCTACAAGCCAGGACCTGGTCTACCTTTAGAGGTTGTATACAAGATCAGATCTGTGTTTGAAGAGCTCACAAAAGAAGATGAGCTTAAAAAATGTCTGCACGGTAAAACGCAAAATGCAAATGAGTCTTTCCATGGGAAAATATGGGATCGCATACCGAAAACGAAATATGTCTCGCTGACTTTGCTGAAGTTTGATTCCAAATTCCAAAAGAACCACTTGAGCGTTTTATCTGAAATTTTCAACAAATTTTCCTTTTTATAAAAGCTGTGTTTTAAACGGACAGAATTTTGAAATACTTATGAATAAAACAGTATAACTAATTTAATTTTTCAAAAAATGCACTTTTTTCTATTGTCAACTTTAGATCACAAGTCTTCAGGCCCAGAACTTTTTAAAAAAAATCGGTTTTGTTTTATGTCAAATTTTGTTATTTAATGTCTATATTTAAAAATGGGGGAGTATACCCCTTAAGAGCTTCATTGTAAATCATTC